CAACAATTGAAACTTTTTCACCTCAACTGAGCCAGTTGGATCCCCCTGCTTCTGTAGATTCTCCCAGTCTTTCTTCCATCTATGAAAATTCCTTTTATATCCATAAAATTTTGGAAGACTAATGGGACGGATCTTCACAATGGATGTGGCTTGTGCCTGTATAGGTAAAGATGTGAAGTCTGATTGAGCTGCTGCAGATTTACTCTTTTCCTCTGCGATTGTTTGTGCTACAGCGAACTGTGATTTTCTTGTTTGAAGTTTATTTCTCATCACTTTAAGCTGCCTTACTTTACCATCTAAACTGTTTCTTTCTTCTGCTGGAACCCATATTTCCCAGGTAGCAAGGCTTTTAATTGCTTCGTGAATCACTTCCTCCACAAAGGACAGCTGCATTTCATATGCCCTTTTGTTCACAGCTAAAACCTGTATATCAGCAGCATCATCACAAGCCTTTTCTGCCTGCTGAATTGCAGTACAGAGTTCATCTTGACCATATTTCCTCCACAAATTGGACTGAACTATTTGTTTGACTTCCTCTAATTTCAATTCACAGTCATTAATAGTTTTTTCCAAATCGGCTTGTTGCTGTTTATCAAGTTCCACTTCACCATGTTCCCCAGCTTTGTCTTCCAGTTCTGCTAATAGCCCAGCTTTGTAATCATCATTTGAATCACTTACATGTCTAGCATCAGAGGTGAGATTTTTGAACTCCTCCCACAGTTCCATCTCTGTCATATTGGGAGCTCTTCTGCTCAGGAAGTTGGCTTGCTTGGTGAAGGAAGATTTAGCCATGGTTCGCTCCAGTTTTAATTGTTTTAGTGACTTTCCAAACATTTCTTCAGCCATTGTGAACCTTAATGCTGATGCTTGATGTCCTCCTTGATTGTCTTCTTCTGCTCACCAGAACACTCTTTTATCAGGTCTTCACTGGAGCCTTGGTTATCAACTGTCAAGTTTTTTTCTCCATCTGAAGTCACTTCAGAATTTTCCCAAACTTGAAAAGGCTTGCTTCCTCCAAAGAGATGCTGGAACAACTCAGCTCATTCACATTTGTTTATTCATCCTTTCTTTTTAGATGGATCTTAATAGCAGTGCAACATTCCTAGGACATAAGTAGGTTGATAACCTACAAACAGATGAGATAAACATTAAACATCAGAAACAACAATGTTCACCTGTGCTCAGATTGAATTCTATTCAGAGAAAGAACTTCAGCTGAAAGCTTCTCCAAAGACACCACTGGTAGGAACTGGACAATATTATTTGAAGTACATAATACATATTTAATTCGAAAAACTAAAACTGTACTGAAATTTGCTGATTGTTTGTGGTTGGATACATATTAGTATGCACGCTTTGCAACATAGTTTGTTTACCTTTTTCATTCACTGTTAAGTTAAAAGTAAATTATTAAAAGCATTAATTAAGAAACTAGTTAAATATGAAAAGTCAAAGTGAACATTGTTGTTTCTGATGTTTAATGTTTATCTCATCTGTTTGTAGGTTATCAACCTACTTATGTCCTAGGAATGTTGCACTGCTGTTAAGATCCATCTAAAAAGAAAGGATGAATAAACAAATGTGACTGAGCTGAGTTGTTCCTGCGTCTCTTTGGAGGAAGCAAGCCTTTTCAAGCTTGGGAAAATGCTGAAGTGACTTCAGATGGAGAAAAAAACTTGACAGTTGTGGTTCCCTGACCAGGAATCAAACCCAGGCCGTGGCAGTGAGAGCGCCAAATCCTGACCACTAGACCACCAGATGGACTTCAGATGGAGAAAAAAACTTGACAGTTGATAACCAGTGGTGTCTTTGGAGAAGCTTTCAGCTGAAGTTCTTTCTCTGAATAGAATTCAATCTGAGCACAGGTGAACAGGATTACTCTATAGATTTGGCTGCTGAGATAGAGCAATGACAGGGATGGGTGTGCTTGATTCGTTGTAGAGTGCACTCCAGTTGCATGGAGATAGTAAACCATTTAAACCTGTCAGATTTGTTGAATTATCTTGACATCCACATTCACACAGACACGTTCACTAACACGTGTAATCAGGATGTTTATATTATCTGATATTTAATGAAATAACCATTTGGTCTGTCAAGTATTGTCCTGGGAATACCAGCCCAATATGGTGGTGGCATTAGGACAATAGATGAAAGAGTGAATCGAGTTCTGGAATTACCGAACAGCAAAAATGTGTCAGCACATAGAATAAATTCACCACAGCTGCTTATATGAATTTATTAAGAAAATTAATTCAACTACAAGTTAAACATATTTCATTTGACTAAATCTTTACGAGGCTTGAACAATTCAATTAAAACTACCAAGCAAGAATGAAGCGAAAAAAACAAAAAAACTAATGATCTATATACAAATGAACAAGGGAATCAATAAAAATGGTTAAAACAATGACCATACAATGATGCAATAATGCAATGCATTAAGGAAATGAGGTTAAATTAGTCTTAGAACTAACTAAGAAGAGTAATTGGTTTATCTCCAAACAAGCAAACACAATGCAAAATTATAAGAGTAGATAAAGGATGGACAGATCACTGCAGACAAAGTAGTAGAACACTTGGGTCTGCAGAAGGCAGCCTGAATGAGAGATAGCATTAACAGGAGAGCAGATCCCAAAGAAATTTGTGATAGAAACCTGCTGTTCCATTAAGGGAATTCATGCAAGAAGCACACAGCAGAATATACATTGGTTCATGGAGCTCATTATTAAAGATTATTGTCAAAACAACACAAATATTTGAATGTGTCTCTGCTCTTCAAATGGCTTTCTTACAGTGTCTGATGTTGCTTCTCTGTTGAATTTAGCAAAACCTACAGTAGCTGCGGGGTTTAAGCCAGACAATAACCCTTCCTTCAGGCACTGTAGCGCATTGACTTAATTGGAAGTTGGAAGCTTCATAAAGTCACAGCTGATTCCGTGGGAAGAGAGGTAGGGCAGATCTCCAGAAGACCCTAAGGGGATGGCAGGAGAGCAGTGAGTGTTGATAATGAGAATGCTCATGTATTTCTAGAAAAACTGAACTAATTAGAAAATGAAAGAGCAATGGGGGGAACTAGTGGCAAGAAACCAGTGATGAGAAATAGGAAGGTCCCACAAATTGCTTGCATGAGTGAAAGTGGCATGGCTGAAGGGTCTCAAATATTTCTTTACCAATATAGGGGAGAAGAAACATAAGATTTCCAACATGCATTTATATATTATATTAAAACCAATAAAATAAGTAAAACAACATTTTAATAGAGAAACATATAACGTTTACACTACAATTATTTATTATTAAACACAAATATCAGTAAATAAACACACATTTAAAATTTGTAGGATGCTAAAATAATATGAATCATACCTTAGCTACAAGCCAAAATCAAAAAGGTGCCTAAAAAAGCAAAATAGAAATAAATAAAATAAGATTAAGGACAATGCAATTATCTGATCTTTACTCATTATTACTTTGCTCTTACCCTATTAAATCAAATTTTGTGCTTTCAGTTTTACTGGCCCCACCCAGGTGTAAATACTAACAGACCAATGAAATTAAGAAATCACTGTCAGTCAACATGTAGTGAGGTAAAATATCTTAAAGCAACACATCATGCTCCTAACTAAAGCAATTCAAGAACATATAAGAAACAAAGTCAAACCACCAAGACTCAAAAGCCAGTCTAACATCTCCCAAAAAGATAATCTTAATTTACAAAACTTTGCAGCTGAAATTCTGTGGACTGAAGAATCAAAAGTGGAACCTTTTGAAAGGTGTGCCTCAGCGCAGTCTAGAAAGAAGAACATTATGCTAACAGTAAAACGTGGTAGTAGATGTCTTAGCGTGGTTTGCTTCTTCAGGACCTGGATGACTTGCCTTAACTGAATAGAAAATCCTTAAGGATGTTGGGTCATTGTTCATTTTGTGAACCAAAAGAACTGCTACGCAGCTCTGATGTCACAGGAGGTGAGCATTATAAGGGCTCGCGGAATGCTAAGACTTTGCTTTTCCCAGCTGGAGCAGAGACCTGTTAACACGCAACAGAAGCACATCTTTGGAGAATCAGAGACTTGCAGGCTGGTTTTCGCTCCATTCTCCATTACTGGCCAACCTCAGGAAAAGCTTGACAAAGCTAGAATTCTTGCTGGGATAAGAAGACCAGAGTATTTACTTTATCCATCGAAGGCATGTCTGTAGCACGTTACTCAAGTAAGAAAAACCCACAGAGGATTTACAAGGAGATGGTTTTTCCTCTTTGTTTTTGTTCCAGTCAAGCACATCCAGTTGAATGTGCTGACAACAAAATCACACAAAAATCATCAATGGAAATCAAATTTATTAACCAATGGAGGCCTGGATTTGGAGTCACACACAAAATTAAAGTGGAAAAACACACTAGAGGCTGATCCAACTTTGATGTAATGTCTTTAAAACAAGTCAAAATGAGGCTCAGTATTGTGTGTGGCCTCCACGTGCTTGTATGACCTCCCTACAACACACCACATTTCTCTTGTTCTCGGTGGAAGACACACACGTTTTCTCTCCCTCCCTCCCTGCTGATCCCTGCTTCTGCTTTTTGTCTGTATTTTTCTCTGAGCCTTGCTTTGCATATCCTCCAAACTTTTAAATTATGGATTTGGTCAGCTGGACTCTCAACGTAATTGATCAAATTTTTTTCAACGGGAAGATAGGGTAAAGGAGACCCTCTTGTCCAGCCAGTACATTCTTCTCTGGATACAAAATGGATTCTTGGCAGCAGTGGAAGATTGTGTGTCTGACTACGATGTCGGTCGTGGACGTAGAAAATGTGTACATATCTGGACTTTTGATTACAGGATTTCTGCTTTTTGGAGTTGGTGGTTACCTGGCTTATCAAGTGATTCGCAAAACGTGGGCAGCTGTTCAAAGCATTCCAAAGCTGCCTGCGATGTTG